TTCCTGTGAACAGTCTGTCAGCCAGGAATGCACCAGGACTGTGACCCTGACCACGCAGAGAAGTGGGCATGCCACCCCCTCTTGATGAATGAGTCCCAGAGAGGGTAGTGGAGTGGCCCAGCCCACACAGCTGCCTGACATACACAAGGAGAGGCTGCTGTACAGCGCGGTCTAGCCAGCAGCTGAAAGAGCTCAGGGAAGGGAGTGGCCCCTGCAGATGCATGGAGAGGGAAGCCAGAAGGAGGGAACACAGGGTGGGGGAGAGACAAGCTTTCTTCAAACAGAAAAGTGGGGAGTGTCGAATCTCTTGGGGAGAATAAAGACAACATCGGTATGGCTGGAGAAGAGGGTCTGCGGATGGGAAATGGTGGAAGAGGTGGGGGAGGGTCAGGCTGGCGAAAGTGATAGATGCCAGGCTGGGGAGCCAGGGTTGGAGTCTGGGGATGGGACTTGTCAAAGACTCCTGCTGACATGCTCTACCCTTCAAAATGCCTTGGAGAGCATAGGAGAGCTGATAATAATAATGACAGGCAAAATTATTGTTTACCATGTGCCTGGCACTTCAAATGGGTTATTTCATTTAACTCTCACAACCATAGGAAGCAGATACTATTATCACTCCCATTTTACAGATGCAGAAACTGAGGTAGAGAGACTGAGTATTTTGACTGAGGTCACTCTGTAAACCAAGTAATGGAACGCACAGAGCCCACCACAAGTAAGCTTAACATTTGTATGAAGTCTCCTATTTTAATATTCATGCAAATTGTGCATTTTATTCTTAATACACTTGCACCTGTTTTAATACCAAAAAATGCCTTTCTCTCAAATCCCCAAGTAAAACTACCCTCCAGGCAGGCAGAGGCACTGTGTTTTCTCTGTGGCTTCATGAACCCTGGGCATGATGCCGGGAAGCCCAGTAGGGGCTGGAGCCCAAGGAAGGTTTTGAAGCAAATGGTAGATGCAAGGTGTGATTTTGATTCTCTGCCTCCAACTTGTGCCATTTCCCTAAAAAGGATACCGTCATCCCTTCATTTATGAAAAACTGGACAGAGGACATGTTCATCTTTAGCTCTCAGCCTCTCCTGGGGTTGTCTGGTCCCAACCTCCAGAATCTCCAGAATCCCGTTCAGAATCAGAATCCACTCAGGTTACCCAAAACCCCTACTTTTTTTTTTTTTTTGTCCTTTT